AAAGAGCATGAAAAAAAAATTAATCAAAAGGACCAACACCCGGTTTTGCCCCAGTAGTAAAGCGCCGTTAAGGTAAAACTTGTTAAAATTTTTTTTGGCCTCTTCAAGGGTTAACCCGGTAATAGTAATAAAATTCCCAAAGAAGCCCGATAACGTAAGATCCATGTGTGTCTATTTCAGGTCCCATGTCCACCTTCATTTGGACGAATGTCCTAAAAGAATGATGAAATGCAGCGTGGCCGGTTGTAACAATTTCTACCAGTTAGAGATGGAAAATGCCCACAACGAACTTTATCAAGGAAGCCGCCAGGCGCTACTTAAGAGTCAAGTTGAAAGTCTTCAGCGCGCGATTTATGACAAGGTTTTTTGATCTCATTTAGGAGACTCGTTTTCAAGTATAACAATTGAGACACTTTTCATTCAGTTAGAATTTCGATGTTTTCGTTTTTATTTGCTTTTGTTTCTTACTTTCAATAATAGTAATAATAATAATAATAATATTATTATCGTTGTTTTTCTAAATATTGTTATTATTATTATTTGCAGTCTCAAGTTGCCGTGAAAAGGGAGTTGTCTAAGCGAAAGTGCTACCGGTGGACAGTGCCGAAGTCGTCAATCCGAATTCCAAAGGATATTTCAAGTCCACTGTTTGGGTTTGAAAGTCACACATTTCGGTGCCTGTGGAAGAGGACCTCTGGCCAAAATAGGCTGTTTCTAAATGCAGTGTTTGGCTCTTCGCCAATCACAGTTCAAACAAGGTATGAAAGTCAAAAGGCACTCCCTCCCTGACTGTTATTAAGTGAAATGGTAGTACGGTAAATCAACTTGTCATTCATGAATGCAGAACTTAGCAATGGCAGTATAGACATCTTTTAATTTAAATCGTTAATCCAAACCTTCATTTATAACTTTTCACATTTATCGACTGTTTATTTGCGATCTTTAAAACAGCATCATTCTATCAAATTCTAAACACTAATTAATCTACCCTTTTTTATCAGATTTGTTTTGTTAAACGAGGACGGAGTAATGAGAGTCTTTGATACCGAATGTGAAACCCTTATGGAAGATCAAATCATCGGGGCAAAGGAAGACTTGGGCCCGATTGAAAAAGAGCAAGATTTAATTATAAAACTAATTATAGCTATCTATAAACATACATAGAATACATTGTAAATTTTCTTCAGTAAAGTTTCTTTTCACTAACTTATTTACGAAGATGCCATTTCTTTCGTCACGTGTCCAATTCAACTTACAGGGTGGCCAACGCACCACTAATTTTGCTGCCTTTTGTTACAATCGTTTCGTGTAGGTAAAACTGAAATGTCGCGCTCGTTGGTAAAGGGTTACACTCGAAGGTCGCTTTAATGCAACGCCGCTTAACACGAGCTTAGCGCAAATGTTTAGCTCGCTTCAAACAATAAAAAATGTCCGCTCATTTCACTAATCTATGTTCTGAGGATTTTTGGGTATTTTTAGATATAGATAGAGATATTTTTTCTCCGCAAAGGATAAGTAAAATTGAGGTAAATAAGAAATGCTGATGATTTGATATAGTTTTAAAAATTGGAATTTGGAAAACAGTCCCTACTTACCTGGGGTTAGACTACGAGCAGTCCCTCCTTTTCGGTGAAGTCCGTCGCGCAAGTCAAAAAAGAAAATCGGTGAAAAAAAAAATTGATGGTAGCGCTGCGGGGAACTCTTGGAGTAACTAGTACGGACCAAGGCCACATTTTTGACCGCCTCTCTTATAGAACTCCTGCGACGCATCGGTGTCACTCCAAGGGTTTCAGTGGCGCGCTAACAGCAATTTTTTTTCATAATTTTTTTTTGGACTCGCGCTACGGACTTCGCCTAAAAGGAGGGACTGCTGGTAGTCAAACCTGAGCTGCGCTTTCGGTGGGGTCATCTTTCTGGTGGCGTTTAAACCAATTTTTTTTCTTATCAGCCCCTTCTTCAAAACTTCTTAACTTTTCACTAAAATTCACGTATAGCACGCCTTAAGGAAACGTCAGGAAGCAAATTTGCGGTTGCAGCGCAAATTAAGAAATGCCTATAGACTGATCAAAACCTTCTAGAGGCTAGTCACGAAACAATGTCCATCATTCATTCACTCGCTTACTCTTAAATTCACCATCACATTCAAGAAAAGAGAAAGAGAGGGGGAAAGAAAGAATGATACATGGCGAACTTTGCACCGGGAAAAAAAAAAGGAAATTAGCTGTCTGCACATTCAATGTGCATAAGTAATTCAGCATAGGTTTGGTAACTCTCGGTAGCATGAGGTGTTCGCTAAACACTCCAGGATATCCGATAATCGCCACAAAAAAGTAATTAAAGCTTCTCACGGCTGAAATGAAAGAAAACCGCAACTTCCGATACAACACTAATTTGGTCGCACATTTTCCAGAAACAATAGTCCAGGGAAATTTCGGGTCTAATTCGTAATAACCTAAAGGGCGGTTCACTGAACTCATTTTCTTGGTCACTGCTCTCTTTTCGGATCAGACTACATTGCGTTTGTTTTCTTGTCGGAAACTTCATATAGTGCTATGGACTTGAGTTATTTTACTACTCTAAGGCAGTACCCTGTATCAAGAATGATACGGTGGCTGCAGAATCGTTCGCTTCTAGCGAATCCTCTTCACTGCGGCGCTTGTCACGAGGACATGGTTATGGTTGGGAGAACCGATGGCCACATCGACGGTTATCAATAGTTAGTTGCTGCAATAAGTATATTATATGTGTACTATATATTTTATTCACGGTTTCTCTTTTGGAAGGTTATATTTGGAGCTTTAGTTACGCTATAAAGGAAGGCCGATAAGTGTTACCTTCAAAGTTTGCCTTATTATACTGCTCGGAGTTCAGAAAAACGCTTAATTTTACCTAATGTATGTTTTTGAGAGTTGATTTAGTACAAGTGGTCGAGGATTACTTCAAATTCTACATTATTGGGGCAAAATTTAAACTGATGGAGTAGCATAAAAAATATCACAAGAATTACAAATGGGGTTGGACTGCCTAGGAGTTAAATTTTCACTAAAAGTTGATAACATCCCTCGCTTTGGAGGAGGCGCGAGACACGCGAGTTCGTGTGAACTTTGAAAAAATTAACTCACGCAAATATTTCCCTTTCTGCGTCCTCTAAAGGCTTTCGTGCGCGCTTAAGTCCGCTTCTGAATCGTTTCAGAAAAAAATATATACTGTTTCAGTACAGGCTCGTAAGAAAAGGCAAAACGAAGGTTTTAAACTATAAAAGTAATTTATAATTTACACTTCGGTTATCTATTCTTTTTTTAACTTAAGGAGATGCAGGACATGCAAGAAAAAGCGAAGTTTAAGGGCCAATAGCTTTTTCGCTGAATTCCCCAAAATTCCTCTGGGGGAAATGATGATGACACTCTATTTTTGGTCTATCGATGAATCACGAACACGAACATCGAGAATGATGACCATGAATAGAAATCTGGTATGCACTATATTCAGACGTTTGGAGCGTGTGTGTTCCCAGGACATCACCGACAACCCGTTCATCCCCTTTGGCGGCCCAGCATTGGTGAAGTGCGATGAAAGCAAATTCAATCATAAGGCGAAGGTTAGTATTACACAATGATAATAATAATAGTAATAATAATAATAGCAATAGTAACAATAACAATGATAGCTACGACAACAACAAACAAGCTCATTTTAATAAAAAAAAGAAAAATGCTGTGAATTTGAAGCCGCCTGATATTAAGCACCCAGACTTTAGCAGTGCTAATTATTGCCATATTCTGTAGTACAACAGAGGAAGACGTACTCCACGCGTCTTTTGTATGAAGTATCTTGTTTTTCACCACATTGACTGAACTCGTTGGCTTGAGATCCAAAATGTATTCGTACATGAAAGAAAACCAAAAAGGAGGCAAAACGGCAAAAGGAATCACGAAGACTGTTATCAGAAAAAATATTAAACACAACGACTATATAAATACATTATTTAACAACGAACAGATATATCATAAAGTGAAAACTATTAGAAGCGTTAATCGTGAACTTGGTAGTTATGAAGTGATAGTTACTCGCCATCTTGCTTTTGATGACAAGCGTTATATGCATGAAGATGGCGTGACATGTTACGCTTCTGGACACTACTAAACTTTTCGTAAATCACGAGCTGGAGGCGAGAGATTCACAAACCTTTCGAGTTTTAAGGTGGGTTAAGAGGCTGCGGAGTGGGACATGAAGCCTTAGCTTGTGTAGAGGTTCTTTAAAACCTTTTTACTTCCATAAGTGACATCCATTCGCTTCGAATTCCTCACAAGAATATCACGGCTAAATCAAACATTACGAGATGAAAAGAAATGATCGCCTAATCTGTTGACCAAATTCTCCTCGTCAGTACCATAGGATAAGAATAGAGAACAGTATGAAGAATATGCATACTGATCTGGGGCTGCAAGAGGGGAAAGGCTAGCACAGGGTGATCTCTGTTTCTTTATCTCCTCTTACCTCAGTTTTCTTGGTTATCGCATCAGAAATTTGAGTCCTGATATAATTTCTCTTTTCATATCAATGCAGTGCATGTATAAACAAATATTCTTACTGTTTAGGAATGCTACGCGTCCTTAATCCTTTCACCCTAAAGTGTGATTAGCATCTAGTTTCTCCTTACAATATCACCCTAGAATCCTAAAAAGGTCATGAGAATAAAGAAAATGATCTCTTACTAAAGAAGCTCTTGATTGCTCAACAACCTCTCCCTGTCAATACGTTTCCTTTCAGTTAAAGGAAATGTTTAGAGAACAGAAAGGAGAATATGCATACTGATATTAGGGTGCAAAGGATTAATTATGAAGCGGTCAGTTCTATCAGGACATAGCGAATCTAACAAACCATTCGTAAGGCCACCTAACCCACGTGAGAAATTGGAGAAGCTTTTCAACTTTGTTGGAAGGCTGGCGCAGTAAACCATTTCAGAGGAATTTTTATGGAGATAATAAAAACAAATAAAATAACAATTAGAACAAAACTTTATTAAGACCATTCATGCAGTGGTCTCGTAAAACTGTGACAAAATGAAATTAGTTCATGTAATAAATACGATATATTACATTATAATTTCTCACTAATTCTATCGTAAATTTTTTCTTGTAGGCCTCAGTTAACTGTAGAAACCTCTACACTTTTATCAGACAAAATCCCCGAGAGCGACATACCTCTTCCATTTTCCCCACCGCGCCTTCTTACTATCACTCCGCTCTCCTACTTTAAGAACTATCCTGGTATGCTACATTAAAAACTGGAGGTCTTTCATAGGATAGGAAGGCCTAAGTAAAACGAAACAAACCTGAAATTGAACAAAATATAGACAGCCTCCGTAAGTGGTCTTTGGTGATCAAAACCACTTTACGCTGCCTGGAGCCTGTCGAGCGAAACCATCTCCCCTTACCCACCACTCTCATGATCTGAGACGTGATTCTACTAACTAATGCCCACCATATATTTGTTGCCTCTCTCTAACATAGAGTTTTATCAGCATAATTTACCTTCATTGATAATTTCATTTATTCCCATTATCAGTCTGTTTGACAGTGAATTAGAATTGTAAGAACTCAAATGCTGATCATGCCTGTAGCAAAATGTTTAAGCGAATAGATATTTCTGTGACATAATCAGAATAATCGCATTTCCACAGAATACCAAGTTACTCTGTCCAGAAATTTTCTTTTTAAGTCATTCAAATCTCAGAGAAGTAACATTGTATTCTGCAAAAAAGACAGAACTTGTTAATTATCTGTTTATATATTTATTGACTGAATAAATATTTGAATTTGATATAAGCTTTCTATAGCTATCGTAGTTTTTGTCTTTTGGAACAACCGCCAATACTTTGTAAAAGGCCAAAAGATCTGCAAGATCTTTGAACAGAAAACAAACACTTCTTAGACAACTGTGGACGTTTTTGAAATCTCTAATGTCGTCGGAAGTACGATTGTCGCGGTTGTCTCTTTGAAAATTACAAATTTGCTGTCATTCATTCAAAGTATTCTTTTTCTTTCTTAGACAGAGCAAATTTTTGCTGGGTCAAAACCAGTGCAGCTCTGAGTGGACCTACACACACTATTATTGCTTGATTTCCCAAACATTTCGTGTACAATTATTTTATTTTATTGGTTATTTTCATTATGAATTCACGTATCTGTTGGAGGGTTGCCTTCCTCGAAGGCCAGCTTTTCCTCCTTTATAAGACACATCGTCCGAAGAAGGAATGAATTTCTGCCTTTCGTCTGCGCCTGGCGAGTTCTGGTCGCTGTAGTAGCCATCTTCTTGCATAGAAAGCGGCGAATTTCTCTGTTCGTATTCAGGTGGATACTCGAAAACTCCAGAGTTTCTCTCGCAAACGTCCTTATCTTCATCTTCAGAATGAAGCTGTTCCTTCTGGCTTATGAAGTCGTCATCATTTACCTGGCTCACACTTTCTTTGGGCTTCTCTTTCTCGAGAGTGTCTTTACGAGTTTTTTCCAACTCGCTGTCCTTGCGTCGGGCAACTCTCTCCTTTGGTGGGTCCTGGAGAATAAATTTCTGTTTTTCTTCATCCTTGGGGTTTTCTGGCTCAAAGATTTCCAGCTCAATGTCTTCTGTAGGGAGGGGTGGCAGCGGGGCGTGTTTTTCTTGTTCTGAAGTGGGGCTGCCTGGAAGTCTTATGAGGCTTTCACCTGGATCCAGATATTCATCGTCAAATGTTGGCTCGTTTAAGTCTGGGTCATCTTCTGCATTCTCAAGATCAAGGTAACCTTCGCCAGTCTGAGAGAGAGGTAAAGGGAATCCGTAAGAAAGAGAGTGGATGGAAGAACTCAGTTTGGATAAATTACGATGCAAAATTACCGCAAAGATGACTTGAAATTGGGGTCAAAAGTAAGCAACCAGGCACAGATAATTCCCTAAATAGCTGGAAAGGATTGAGGTCTTATTTTGTCTCTTATTTTGAGTCATGGAACTTGAAATCGCTTTTGAGGTCAAATTTTTAATAAAGCATACCTCTGAAGATCTCTCTTCCAACCGTTTATCAAGCTCAGCAGTAAGGTCCGTGAATGAAGGTCTGTCATCCGGGCTATGCAACCAACAATGGCACATTACTTCGTACCTGTGCAATATATGAATAATTGGATACAAATGTAAATATGACCAACTTCAGGAATAGATGGATAGATTGAATATATGGATGTATGAATGAGTGATGAAAAGTTAGAAATGTTTGGCGAAAAATAAGAATGTGCTCGAAAAAGCCTCATCAAAACTCTTTTCACTGATCAATGAAATACTTACATTTCATTTGGGCAATCCAATGGCTTCTCCATGCGATTTCCTTCCATCAAATACTGATAAACTTCGTTGGCCGGGAGACCTGGGTACGGACATCCACCTTAATGATAAAGAAGTACCCTTAGACGACAATTTTTTCAAAAAGAATTAAATGTAGGCACCGTATCTTTAACATGACATCGCCATCATTAAAACTGAAAAACTTACCAAGTGTAAACAGCTCCCACAACAAAACCCCAAAAGACCATCTACGAGAGAAAGAAATGCGAGACACGTTACCAAAGTTTACAGGGACAAGTAACTTTTAACTTTCACGATTATCTGTGTAACTTACACATCACTCTTGTGCGTGTAGACGCGGTCAACCAAGGCTTCGATGGCCATCCATTTCACTGGGAGCAAGCCCTATGGACGAACAAAAAAACGAATGGTTACTTTAAATCAGGAGGAAAAGCGATGTTTTCATTGAGAGCGAGATTGAAAACCCAATAACGAAGGAGTGAGCGAATTGAACAGGGATAAGCTAATAATGAAAACAGCAACAACAAAAACAACAACACAAATCCAGTTTCCTTAAGAGGAAATACGATAGCTTTTGATCCATTTTGCATAAGGAGCCGTAGGACTTTAAAATATCAAATATCAAAAACAGCGGTGAGATTCTTACCGAGGTGGTCTTGACGTAATTCTCTTCTTTATAGATGTCCCTCGCCAATCCAAAGTCAGCCACTTTTAAAACATAATCCTCACCCACTAACACATTCCGAGCAGCAAGATCACGATGAACACACTGAAAAAAGGAATCAAAATTGAAACGTTAGTATTAAAATCTTTGAATGAAAAAGGTGAAGATGATTTCCAATTTTACGGGTGATTAGCCTCAATCGGGTTCTCCTTCAATGAAAGTGTTGGAAATCCCAGTATAGCAACACTAGTCACTCGCGTAGTTTTCCTTTCCTATCTTTATTCTAGTCGTTACACGCTTCGTATCGCGTCGATCTTAGCCTATATCTTTTTTCAAAACCACAATCCTAAAGACCACCCTTGGTTTTGCGTTGCGAGGTTACACGGCTGACGTCACTTTTCCGACACCCTCCCCCCATTTGTCTCGGAGAGCAAATGTCTGTCGAGAAATGAACCTTATCGCTTAGATTTTATGAACGAATCTATCATCTAGAATTTTCAATCGATTTCCTAATCACACTAATCATTGATCAATCAGTAGCCATAGTGGCAGATGTTCAGTTCATAAGTAGAATGTTCAAGCATCCGATCCGCTGTTGTCATCCAATCTGTTTCGGTTTGGTTCAAAGTTCAACCCCCGTCCTCATCGTGAGCAAGATCCTCCATACGTAATCTTGCTGCGACGGCTGCATCACGGGAAGGCCTGAACGCTGGCGCTTCAATGCGCAACTCGGTCGTTGGAGGTCTGTCGCCGTCTCCCGGTCGATCACATGACAGTTCTAACGGATACAGCTGCTGTACTGCTCGCTCTAGATGTGAGGTCCCTGTGCGCAACTTTGCTCCCCGGACAACACCGTCACGCCCTTTGATTAGTTCCGTGACGATCCCGACCTTCCATTTCCCGCGATTCTTGTCGTCCGACTTGATCAGCACGACCTCGCCCACAATAGGATTTTCGGGCTTTCCAGGATTCTTTAGACGATGGCGTTCGCGCAGCCCCTTTAAGTACTCCCCCGTCCATCGCTTCCAGACGGCCTCCTTGCATCGTCTGAGATACTTTGCTCGCTTGCGTAATTCACCGTCTTCTATGCAGTGCGGTTCCAACTCGAGTAGTGCATTTGGTTGACTAAACAACAAGGAGTGGGGGGTCAAGATCGGTAGCTGCACATCGTCCTCCACGTAACTTAAAGGTCGGTTGTTGACTGCAACCTCTACGTCTAGTATAACCTCCTCTAACTCGGTCCACGTTAGGAACCCGTTTCCAATGGTCTTCTGTAGACTTCTCTTCACCAATCCAACCATTCTCTCGAACTGCCCTCCCCACCAGGGCGCTCTGCTCAGGTTGAATTGCCACTTGATTTCTTGACGGGAGAGGAATTCGTTGAGGCGTTCGTCAGTCATCACTTGTTTCAGCCACTTAGCTGCTGCCACGAAGGTACTCCCGTTGTCTGAGTAAATCTTTTCTGGCCGCCCACGTCGGGCGATAAACCGTTTCAGGCATCGAAGGAATTCTCCCGTTTCTAGGCTGGGTAGTAGCTCAAGGTAAATACCTCTGGTCAGGCTACAGGCGTAAAGCGTTATGTAAGCTTTGCCTTCATGATTCCTCCCCTTTCTATACTTCAGTGGTCCGGCGAAATCCACTCCGACTACTTGGAACGCATTTTCTCCTTCGGTACGATCCCTAGGTAGCTTTCCTGGTGGCGGAACCGCAAACGCTGTGGCGCGGAACCGCTTGCAGCCGTTACAAGCTTTAACGACTCTTTTTGCAAGGCGACGCAACCTGGGAACCCAGTACCTTTCACGAATCTTTGCCATTGTGAGGCTCACTCCCCCGTGGAGTGTCCTGATATGTGCGTCTGCCACCATCTTTTCCGCGAACGGATGAGACTCAGGCAAGTAAATGGGATAGTCTCCCTGAATCCGCCCTCGGCATTCCAGTAACCCGTCTGCGTTTTCTTGTAGGTTCAGCTGAACACGATGATCTTCGAACCGCTCGTCTCTCTTGAATTTCACCTGTGTTCGCTTTAGCCACAGGTGTCGCTGCATCTCGATCTCCTCTGTCGTGAGTGGTCCCTTAGATCTTCTCGTCTTTTCGCTCCGTAGGTTATGTATGAATCGAGTCACCCACGCACAAACCCTTAGGGTTTTCCATAAGTTGAACTTGATCAGCAAGGCGTCTAGGATGTCTGTCTTAGCTTGTGCTACAGCGAATACGTCCCGTATCACTTTTGCTTCCGCCTGACTGTCTGGTGTGGCCGTTGTCTTAATATCGGCTGGCCATCGCTCTCGGTCTAGTAGCCACTCAGGCCCTCTCCACCATAGCTCTTCATTTTCCACGCTTCCGCTCCGACTGCCAAGGTCAGCTGGGTTGTCCTTTGTACCCACATGACGCCAGTTTACTTCTGGGTGTTGCTGGATTTTCTGCACTCGATTGCTTACGAACTGCTTGTAACTCCCTGCTCCCTTGATCCAATGTAACGCAACGCTGCTGTCCAACCAGCAAACCATATTTCCAACTGGGAAACCCTCTAATGCTTCCTTAACGTTCACAATGAGATTGGTCGCCATGTGACCGGAGACCAACTCGAGGCGGGGGATGGTGAGGCCTTGCTTCGCCAGTCTAGCTTTGGCTGCTATCAGCCCAACACTATCACCGGATGGTTGAGATATGACACCGTACACTGCCGCAGAAACGCCTTGTCCGCTTGCGTCGCCGAAACAATGTAGCTCAATGTTGCTGATCTCTTCAAAGTGTTGAGGTATGGCTCTGGGTACGGAAATGCTCACTGGTAGCTGTGCTTCCCATCTTGACCACTTGGTTCCCAGTTGACCAGGAAGTTGAGCATCCCATCCGACTTTCAAATCACATGCGTCTCGGTACAGTAGTTTTCCACTCAATGTCATAGGCGCTGCGAGCCCTAACGGGTCATACACTCTTGCTATCTTCGCTAGTATCCCTCTCTTTGTCACTTGGGTGCGGTCAGTTGGGAAATTTATTTCAATGGTATCTTGTCGCTTGTTCCATGGAAGCCCGAGAATAGATCCCCCTCCTTCTTGAGGTGCACCCAACTGTTCTTTCGCGAATGTAGTATCTTCGCTAAGAGGATCACCAGGGGACTCCACTGCCGGAACATTTGAATGCCACTTGTGCAGCTTGAATGAGGCTTGGTTAAAGACATGGGTAACGCCTGCTTTGACTTCAAGGGCAGCTTTTACGGTGGGTCCCCCGCTGATAAGGTCATCGACGTATAGACTCTTCTCTATTTCCCTCACCAGGTCCGGATTCTCGGTACGACAGGCTTCCAGGTGTTGTTTGATAACTCCCCCAAGAAGAAAGGGCGATGGGGCCAAACCAAACAGAGCTCTCGTGAATCTCAGTGTTTCCACTCGCCTGGATTGCAAGTCCGTGATCCAGTGGAATCTCATGGCATCCCTGTCTTCTTCCCGTATTCGTACTTGTAAGAACGCTTGCTTGATATCACCTGTTAACGCGACTGGGTGGAAACGTGCACGGACAAGAACAGCCCAAAGCTTGTTCTGCAACGGAGGTCCCGCGTGAAGGCACTCGTTGAGAGAAGGAGCCTTCTCTGAAGCTCGGGCAGAGGCGTCGTACACGATTCGAAGTTTGGTACTCTCTGCAGCTTCTCTCACCACTGCTTTATGTGGAATATAGAACTCCTTTCCCACTGGTGGGCCTGACACTCGCTCCACTATTCCTTCGTTAAGCTGGTCTTTAATTATGGCGTCATACTTCTGGAGTATTCCGTTCTTCTCCAGTTTCCGAATGGTACTTTCCAATCGCTTCAAGCTTCCCGCTCTGTGGTTGGGCAGTGGAGGGTGGTTTCCCCTCCAGGGTAGCCCCGTCTCGTACCATCCCTCTGGCCCTCGTGTTAATTGTTCCTTGAATTCTTCATAAACATCTGCTTGATCTCCGCCTGGTGTGTCACGCAATCCTAGAACATCTAATTTGCATAGTTGTTCGTAATCTGCCGCTGTCGTCTGGGTCAAGAACATATTAGAGAGGTCAACTTCTTTACCTGGTGACATAATTGTCCATCCGAACTTTGTTAGCTCTGCAACAGGTTCGCCGGGACGTCCGATCTTTGGTATGGTTTCTGTCTTTATTTTCGCGTACTCGCTCGCACCCAGGATAATGTGGACTGGTAGCTCAGGCTTCTCGTCTCTGTCGTCCATGTATACCCCATCCAAGTAGGGATATTTCTCCAGTATCCCAGCATATCCTGGGTTGTCAAGTGATAGCAATGTACTACGGTCCACTCTGGTGACTTCCGTTTCCAATCGAAATTTTCCATCAAGGCTGCCAATCGTCACGCTATGAACTCCGATGACCTTGTTTGTTGACCCAAGCATCATCTCTATGCGCTTGAATTCTTCTCGTAGCGGTTTGTTTCCCAGGTGTTCAAGGATAGCTGACGACGCGTATGAGCTGCCTGCCCCAGTGTCTAGGAGTGCGCGGCATTTGATTCCATTTACTTCCACGACAACAACGGGATACACGACTCTCTCTGTTCCTTTGTTTTGTGCCGTCATAAATCTTCCCCTCGTTGTGTGACCGCTTGGTGGGCGATCACATATTGACGTGTGATGTCGGCGTTGACAGTTATGACACCCGCGGCTTCTACAGCTGTCTGCTCTGTGTTTGTCACTTGTACAATTAAAACACAACTGTTTTTGGCTCAGAATTCGTTTGCGGTCTCCGACCGCGACAACTTTGGTGCAATTAGCGGATGTGTGGTTCGTGTCATCGCAATAGACGCATCCGCGCATCTGTCCTCCATTTGCTTGTTGTTGGACCTGATAAGACCTTCCGCGTGGCGGCGGAACGCGGGCATTCCAGTCGTTGCGATCATTCTTCCTCTTGGACACACTCCCACCATCGCTTTCTTCTCCTTCTGAATTTATGTCTCTCCAACCTTTAATTGCCTGAATCAGTTTAGCGAAATCCCAGTCTCGCCAATCTTCGTGTCCCCGGACTAAGTCTCCCTTTATTCCTTTCAGTTTGTCTAACACCGCCCTCACATTTCCGGAGACTTCACGTAACTTCCCGAGCGTCTCTAAGCTTTGTACATTGAACAGAAGCCTTTTGTAAAACTCATTAATTTCTTTTGGACTGGCGCTTGTGATGGTAGGCAAACCCATGATGTTGTTTACATATGCATTTACAATTTCTGACGTTTTCCCGTACTCCGATTTTAGGATGGCCTTCGCCCTTTCGTACCCCTCAAGATTGAACGGGAGTCCATCTATGTCCGCTCGTACCTTTGTAACAAGGAGTTCCTTTAGATAAGCGAACTTTGTCACTGCTGACAGATCCGTCGCGTCTATTTCCGCGGAAAATTTATTCCAAAAAGAGAGCCATTGTTCGAAGGACCCATCAAACTTCGTTATTGATAGCTTTGGCAACTTTGCGTGCATTCCGGTATCGCCTGATAACCCTTTCCCTTTTTTGCTACCTAATTCTTCTGATTTTTTTTCGTAATCAAGCTTCATTTCCCATTGTGCTTTTTCAAACGCGAGTTGCTCCTCTCTCTCCTTCGCGATTGTCGCTTTCTCGCTTTCTTTTTCGGCCATTTGCGATTTTTTCTTCACCTCCCCCAAACACTTCCCAAGGTATTCGATCTCCGCGTCTACACCCTCAATAACTTTGTCTATTTCATTGCTCCATGCACATACCTCGTCCATTTGCTCACCCTTTGCAATCTTCTTCTCTTCGATCTTTAATTTGACCTCGTCCGCTTCTTTTGCTAAACACACCAACCCGTCACGGTGTCTCCCAATAGTTGTCGCGTTTGCCTTGTCCACAATGCCCTATCCCTTTTCTTGCTTGTACGCCAAAAGCTTGAGTTTTGCGTCCAAATTCTTCTGAAGTGCCTCCAGTTCCATGTCTCGATCTCAGTCCCGTCGGAGGTGCCAGTTAGTGTTGGAAATCCCAGTATAGCAACACTAGTCACTCGCGTAGTTTTCCTTTCCTATCTTTATTCTAGTCGTTACACGCTTCGTATCGCGTCGATCTTAGCCTATATCTTTTTTCAAAACCACAATCCTAAAGACCACCCTTGGTTTTGCGTTGCGAGGTTACACGGCTGACGTCACTTTTCCGACAAAAGAACCAAAAAAACAAACAGGACGCGCGAATAACAAGGGATGTTGAGCAGATACCACAACTGTCAACCGCTTTCACTTTCGTCTCCGCTGACAGAGATCAGGCAACTACTCTTTCTTTCACGTTGATTGTGATAAAATTCCTTTACGGGAACAAAAAACCTTCTAGAATTTGTCCCTCTCTCAATATTTGTATCACATAGCTCAGGAGTGACCAGGACAGAATTTCTCCTTACAACATCAATACACTATCAACCAGATGAGTGATGAAAATAAAGAAAAATATCAATTTGAGGATAATTGGGTTGATCCAATACTGAATTCTCTGAACTAACATTAGAGTTGTATGGTCAAAAGTAAGGAGAATTACAAATTTGATCTGGGAGTTATAGGGTTAAGTGCAGCTTACCCGTGAAGACCAATCTTCACTCGTGTTTCATCCGCAGGTCAAAACAATATTTATATCAAGTTATTTCTTTAATTGCTTCGTAGATTTAGGTATACCACACTCACTTTTCTTGAGGTAAGGAATTCCATTGCACGAGCGACTTGCAACGAACAGATGTAAAGATCAATCGTTGTGAATGTAACGTCAGCGTGTTCGGTAGGCGTACTCCATTTTGCTTCGAATATGTCTCGGCGTTTCCGCAAGAAATCCAGTAAGTTACCATGCGGACAATACTCTATTATGACCCAAAGATCTCTCTCGCGACCTAGGGAGAAGAATGTTGTTACTATTTGCTCTGTTTTAGAATAAAAGTAGATGCTACGGTCGATAGGTGAGAATATTAACTAAAGGGAAAAATGTCGTGTATCAGTAAAGCGTTACTCTGGTAAAACGTTTTCTGGCCGTAAATAAGTGACGATGCGGAACGCAATTAAGAAGGATCTTTTGAAAAGGTATTTCTTAATTGCGTTACGTAAAAAGTCTGGAAAATGTTAGGAATTTTTTTTGGACTGAAATATCAACGTTCTTTGAGTTGGTTTTCCAGTCCGCTTTCGCATAATATGAAAGCAACTTTTACATTAAAAGCAAAAATTTGATTACAATTCAGCTTATCCTCTAATAGAATCAGAAGAAGAAAAGAAAATTACCATTAGCGATGAAAATGTTACTAAGTGTTGTACGAAAGGGTGAAGCTAAACAACAAAAGTTGAATGAAGTTAAACCTAGCTTAAACGAACCTTTGGTGCATGCGCCAAGCAAGTTGACAATGTTTTTATGCTCGCCTATATGGATCAGAATCTTCAGTTCAGATGCCAAATCCCTATATTCAGCTTCCGTCGCAGAATCTGTAGAGACAATTGACAGGTTAGTGGAAAAATATTCTTGAAGAAAAGCATTTTTAATTAACAACAATAGTGAAGAACGAATACGAACTGTAAACCAGGGGCGGGTATGATTTTACAGCAGAGAAGGGGATACTGCACATTCGCGTCTGGCTGGGTTTTTATTGACCTACAGGGGTAGTTCTCCCCCTTAACACTGACTTCTTATGAGAAGCCGCTCAGTGTTCCTTTGTAAATACAGAATGATGAAGTTACCTTTAAGACTTTTCACTGCAACTGCTGTTACTCGTTTGTCATTCACATAAGGCCGACTCGTGGATCCAAATCTTGACCGTCTGCGTCCAGACTTCCGCTTGGTGCTACCGCGCGGGTCAAACGCCACGATACCAACCGCATGCGCAAGGAATACTTGGCCAAACGCACCAGATCCAAGGGGCTTCACTGTGAGAGAAAATGTAAGTAGCAAGTCAATTGTTGTGATTGTGTGTAAATGTCATGTTTTTTTTTTCGGTTTAAACTTGTCTCGCAACTGTTTGGGGACACAATTGGATGAAACTTTTCACAATGTGAAGCCAAAGAAATGAGCATTGCTGGCAAAGTTCTTGTGACAGGATTGCACAATCGAAATCAAGTCACATTTTTAGCGACGATTTTGGTAACGTTGCTATAATTGTTTTAACCCGCTGCTCCGTGAATTGTACGGGGAGCTACTCGACGAAGTGTCTCGCAAAACTTTGCCAAATGTTTTGTTGGGAACATAGAAATTGCTGTTCTGCTCTCGGCAAGTGGCTAGATCTTTTGTGCATTTATGCTTACTTTAAACCTAGCGACAAGGCACTACGTTGCGTGTTAACCGAGATAGGATATCAACGATGGCTTATCTTTTAAGAATTCATGCCTCTGAGAGGTGAAAAGTAATCTTCGTCATACTCACAAATGAAAATTCAAACACGAAAGAAGGGAGCAGTTAAATATTCGTTGATCACGTTCTTACGACTGTTATTAATGCTAACTCCAATAAAAATTCGTGCTACGAGTAAACGAAACGGGGATACACACTCTGTACTTACAAATTTCAAGGCGTTCCCTGGGAAATTCCCATTGAGCGTCGTATGGCAGTTTGCTTGTTTGTTCCAACAAGGATCTCTCTGGATCTAACTTCATAATATAATCAGGAGCAGGCGGAAGCGTGAAGATGTAAAATCCGCCGTATCGCTTCTTTCGCCGATAAAGAACCACAATGATAAATAGAAGGAACAAGATCACGAAACTGCTGACAGCGATAACAACGATCAAGGCAACTTTGGAGAACTCGCTTTCGTCCTTAAGGAGTTTGACAGCTCCGACTATGGGTTCTTGTGGAGAAATGAGAAAAAGATAGTGAAACTCACGAGGCCGATCCACTGGGGAGTTCTGGAGGGCCACTCCCCCCAGGGAAAGTCTGGAAGGCTACCCCCTTCCCCCGTATCATGCCAATGAGATTTTGGATCAGTTTTAGTATATGATCAATTGCGCACCTACCCCTCCCCTAACCCGACATTTCCCCTAACGTGCTATTAGTAGAATTTTATTAGGTTAGGGGAGGGTAGGTGCGCAGTTGCTGGGATGAACCGAATTATTTTACTACTTGCTGACACCAAAATTCTTGCAACAACAGGATTGCATGCTACTACTCGACTTGGGGTCTTTAAAATTTACTCATCTTTAAGTGTTCTTTACCTTATTTAGGCTCTGGCTAAAAAGAAAAAGAAAAGTGATTTTCTGTGTTATTTATACTAAAGTATGGACCATAAATTACTGGGTCCGTCCTTGAAACCTTGTTCAGTCGACATACAGCCTCTGATGAAAATTTGTATTCACTTAAACGCGGCACAAACTGATCTTAATGAGATAGTAATGAATTTAAAACAACTTACTAGAGGGCAAATCGTAAGTCTGATTTTTCCTTCCTTGAGAATTGGTTGCCACACATTGATATGATGCTTCGTCGCTCCCAACCGACACTTCAATGATATACACCGTCTGGTTGGCGAATCTTCTCGTAGCATCAGGTAGCAGCACAATTTGACCTTCGCTGTTGATTCTCTGCCAGGTCACGGTAGGAGGTGGGTTTCCAGTCACAGCACATTGCAGCTGGACATTTTCCTCAAATTGTGAGATCTCTGTCACGGATACAGTTGGCTCCTCTGCATGGACATCAAAATAAAAACATTCGGCTTCAAGTCGCAAGTCTAAACTAAGCTGTCCTCAACCGTCTACTTGAGCCCCTCCCCCTTAGTTAGACTAACATCTAACTTCTCCTTACAAAATCAGCACTGAATCAACAAATGAAGGTCACGAGAATAAAGGAAATGATCAGCAAGTTTAGACACTTCTGATTGTTGAACAAATTCTCCTTGTCAGCACCATAGGAAATGTCAGAAGAACAGTAGGAAAAATATACCCAAAATATCTTAATGTATTAAGGCTAAAGAAAATTTTAACGTACCAATCAATCTATAATTCCTTTCCTTTCCCATGATAGGAAAACAAGGCAGAATTTAGACTGTTTTGGGAGGTTTGGATACTAAACTTTAAATGAACTCTTTAATTGTCTATGATCATGAATCATGAGCTAGAAAACCAGGGGTTGCAGTGGGTCAAACTTTTTCCATTGGCGGCTGCCGATGGTGTTAAAGGCGGCTGTACCGCAAGGAGTAACCTAAACACGAAAGCCTGCTCCTAAGCTGAAAAGACGGCGGTGTACCGCCTTTTAGCGAAACCCCTGAAAGCCTGTCATTCACTCATGCAATTGCAATAGGTCGTGTCATGTTTTTCAACACCTTCTGGGTCGAAGTCTTGCATGAATACAGAAATGTGACGAATTTTAGCTCTTTATTTACCCAAGATATTCAAGAACGTATCAGCAGATCCTGGACCTCTGACGTTCTCCACTGCGCACTGATAAACGCCTGTGTGATAAGAGTCGCTGACAGAGCAGATAAATATTCGCCAAACCCCGGGAATCGTTCCTCCACTCATTTCGTAGACACCCCTCTGCAGTTGACCGCAGTCGTCACTCTTGGTTTTCTGAATTTTTATTATTTCTCCGTTTCGTCTCCAAGTGACAGATGCCGGCAGAGGATTTGCAGTGACATTGCAGAATAATTCAACGCCTTGGCCTCCGAGTCTGGTTACATTAGGAGTGATGGAAACACTCGGCTTTGTCAGCTCTGCAAGGAAATTTCAAACGAAAGGAAATGTGAGAACTCCGCCGGTGTAAAGTTATCCTGTGCTGGGTTCTCGATCAGTTGATAATTGCATCTGAAAGTCGGAACGTTGTGATTCTTTTACCTCCATTTTCACCATATATTTTGATAATGTTATATAAATTTTATGATATAAAATGGGAGATGGAAGAGACTACCAAAAGCTAAGAAGAGGGAGGGGGGAGGGGAGAAGATAGGAGTCACGATGAAACACGAAAGTAGCGTCAAACTATGTACACCTCTAAAGCTCTCAAATTTAATCTCTAACGTATCGTAACGCAACGTAGCATATTTCGAAGAGAGGAACTCTAACGTAACGTTTCACTCACCCTGCAACACCAAGTCAATGGACTTTGTCATGTTGAATCCATCACTAAGCTTCACGGCTGAACAGATGTAAAGACCAGCATCGTCGAGCGACGCATTAGTTATACGAAGCTCACTTATTTCTTTATCCTTCCTGACTGATCTACTTCTGAGGGTTTGTCCTCCTTTAAACCAGGATGGGAATTCTTTGAAGACACCAATATTGGCCTCACATGTTAATGTGATGTTATCACCAACATTGGCTGTCACAAGAGGATTGGGCTTGACATATAAATCTTGGTAGATTGGCACGTCTGAAACGCAGAAAAGACAATAGTTGAAAATCGAATTTCACATGTTATCTTCTCGCAGAGGGTGGATTCCACTCTGATTGAGCTCCACGAGTGAAGGAGTACTCTCCAGGACTTGGAGTTTTTTTTTTAAGAACTTGGCTTGAAAAAGCCTAATCCGGCTGTAACAAATCGAAGAGTTCCCTAATTCCACAAAGGTTTCTTAGGTACGAAAGGTCTTAAATTTTCCATCAAATGAACACTGTAGTATTGACTGACCTCTTCGAATAAACGCGTACACCTTCGAGTCTTTCTTTCCACGGTCGGCGGGGTTTGTTGCGGTACACTTGAAAAACTTTCTATCGATGTGGCTTGGTACTATAAGAACGCTGGTATTAAGAGACCGTTGTTCTACCTTTCCAACAAAACTACTCGAGATTCTTATCCATTTTCCCGATGGTTGGCAATCAGAAGGTTCTTTGCATCCGATTTTGATATTCTGATATTTCCACGAGAAATTAGCTGCAGGATTACTGCGTTCGGTTGTGCACTTCAACTCCTCTTTTCTATTTTTGAAGACAGCAGGCTTTTCGAATCCGCTCTTAGTTTCTTTGATTAACTTCGGATGAACTAGAGATTGAAATATGGAACAATAACCGTCCGTTAAAACAAGTTTCAAGGAGGAGTTTTCAAAGGAGGCTGTTAGTATAGGGTGTACATGGCCCCGCTCAGTCAAGAGAATTTGTTAACTCACCACTATGACTAAGTGAATCAAGCGTGCCTTCAAATGCTATAGGGCATTCAAGCAGGACCCCTTGCTAAAAAACCAACACTTAAAATATTCATCAGTATGCATATTGTCCATGGGGTTCCCGGAACATTTCCTAGGGATATGGCATGGAGAATTGGAGAAGAAATGAAACACCTGTCACTCTCAGCATGGCTGTTACTCCGATGTTTGCAGTTCGCATTGGAATTTGAAGTGGTGCATTTTGCAGGGAGGAGAGGGGGGCACAACCCAGACAAAAACTCTCAGAGCAATGAAAGAGAACCAGCAACAAACTCAACCACATGTGACATCAGTTCCGGAAATCGAACTCAGATCACAGCCAGTGCTTACAACGCTGCGCTATCCCTGGTCCCCGCGCCACTGTTACAAGGTTCCACTGGGTAAGGACTACAACACATTGAGCGACAGTTCTATGTGACAAACCTGACAAACCGTTTCGTGCGCGACTCACGTCACCACTTCCATCATGGCACAAATTCAAATCAGATGAAATTTGTGCAACAAAAGCTTTGTCGCAGGGAGGAGGATTTTCACAAAGAAGACCATGCAACAAGAGGTGAATCATAGCAGAGGCTTAAAATAAGTTCAGTGATTTGTCCCTCAGTGCGTACTGCCTTAAGCCATCGATCTTTCGATCCCCCTGACATGAACCTGAATAATTCGTTAAGCTTACCTATAACTTGAAGCCGTGCATGCCGTTTGACTGGTTCATCCAAGTCATTGTTAACTACACAAGTGTAGTTATCGTCATCTTCCGGAAACCGGATGTCCACGACATTTAACTTACTTAGCCATCTACCGCTTGTTTGGGAACTCCATAGTTGGCTTAAACACCTTCTCTCATCCCCCCACTCTGCTACAAACTTAGTTCCATCGATGGAGGAACAAATGCCAGTTTTTCCTTCGCATGTGGCGACTATTCTGTTCCCCTTCTGCCACTGTACCGTTGGAGGGGGGGAACCACTTACAGTGCAGCGGAATGTGACAATAGAACGCTCTTCTACAGACCGGTGTTGTGGTGGACCGGCTATCCTTGCTGGTGAGGGAACTATGTAGCAAAAAAGATATCAAAGGAGTTAGCGATGCTATGATAATGAAATCACCTAGATATAAAGCTATATCTGTATGACTATGTGCATGACTTTGTGAAGTAAGAGATATCAAAGGAGTATGCGATGCTATGATAAAGAAATCACCTAGATATAAAGCAGGCAAGACATTTAATTGAAAATCTCTTGGCGACTGTTTTAATACGTTTGAATGCATGAGGAGTTCACCACAGTTTATATGTTAATTTTGAAATCTGTATGACATCTTTCTCAATGCTGTGATACGCTTCGCTTTCACACGCTGTCGTTAAATCGTATGCAGCTATTCGAATTCCACTTTTCTAGCGCTTTAAGTAGAAAAATCTCAGCTCTTGCTTTAACCCTATGTGATTCTAACCCATTGCATTTACAGAGCATGAGAGGGCGCTTTTCGACAGAGAGTCGTAAAACTAAATCCAAAGATATCACAGCGACCAAAGTAAAACTAAGTAAACTACCCAAAACGCGAGAAAACGCGGGTAACCAAGTCACGAAATTTACAGCTGATTGAAGGAGATGGTGGCGCGAGTTTTTTCTCGGACTAATCACAGAATGAAGTGAAGCAAAACCAAAGCAATCTCGGATTATTTTCGACACACAGTTTTGAAATATTGCTCTATCGATACGATCACACAATGACCAGCAGCTTATCTTATCCCATAGTCTTTTTATATTCCACGAAAGAGCGACAGAACCTGACCACTAGGTTAATTTACCTGCCACATCGATGATGATACTAATGTTGGCGGTAGCATTGTATCCATTGCTTTTCCAGCAGAGATACTCCCCTCTGTCGCTTCGCTTCACATTTTTCAGTTCCAAAGTAACGTTTGTCTCCCAATGACCCGTTTTCAAGGGACGTGACGCTTGACGGATCACCATAGATGTATCTGTTATGTCCTGAGGAACTGTCGATCCTGGATTTATCTTAAACCACTTTACACCACCGTGATGATACCCACTGCAGACTACTGTGACGCTCTCATTTACCTCCAAAGGACCATGAATACAGGGAGGTATGGTTTGAACGTTAACATGTACCTGAAAGTCTGCAAAGAAAATATGAGAAAAAAAATCCATGAGAGTGCAATTACGGTCTGACATTATTCCTTGAATTTTATGATGTAGTTGGAGGAAGGCATGCGCAGTCAGTTCCCCTTGTAAACCTTAACGGAAAGGAGGAGGATGGGGCTGGGAACAATCACAGACTGTGGGAGGGGTGGTTAGGTTATTGAAAAACGTTAGCTTCTTAACCTTGTTGATCTCTGTCCACCTTTAAAGCTTGGGGGAATATTCTACAAATGAGTTTGGATCCGTTTCTATAGTTACCAAACATAAAATTGCGTTAGATCCCCCATAATAGTCGAATTTAGTACAAAGTAAAAGGGGTACAAATATTTAAGAGTGAAAATTTTCGGGAAGAAGAAGAAGTGGGGGGAGGGGGGGGAAGAGAGAGAGAGAGAGAGAAGAGGGATGGGGTTAAGGGGCGGCGGGGACCGAAAGGGATCGTACATTTTGTGTGTGTGAGGGTCAAGAATGCTTCTATCAAATAAATCCACATTTTTAAATTAAAAGCATGAAATTTGTCTGTAGTACATCCAGTCCTACCCAAAATTATCATCAAGGCAAGTCACCACAATATTTCACTTCGCATAAAATGTTGCTTGTTAAATGACACAAGAACCAATATCAATACATTAGCCGTGATTACACACACCTTGGGTTTGGGGCCTTACGGAGGGTAAATAGCTTGGGTTTGGTTAAACTCAGGTTTCATGTTACCCATGGGGATGCGGTTACACTGTAAAAGACTCCCTTCAGGGTCAGATATGATTAGATATGAGTTCACTGACCTGAAAAATTGGCAGGAAAAGTACAGAGCGACATGGATGTTACGAATCGAGAACTATTAAGCTAAATTTCAGTGATTCTCCTGCCTTTTATTCGACAGTCCTCCATAAATATAACAGTCCAGCAGTTTTTTGCGAGAAGACACCGAAGAAGGCGCGAAATTAGCCAAGCGCATCGGAGGTCACTTCAAAACACTGCAGGCGATTTCCTGTATATGCTACATTCTGCTTTATGATTGGTCAAGCAACCTCAGGAAGCAGATAAACCGAACTTTTCAGTTCAGGAACTGTCATGGGAAGTTCTTTTATTCTTTTTGACGTATCCATGGAAATAACCCTAGGGCAGTTTGGGTCTGGGGAAAGGTTACACACAAAAACGTCCATGCCCGTGGGCAAACACTATTTACCCATGGGTAAAAAGGCCAGTGTAACCACGACTATTGTATATGCTAAACATCATTCCTACCTAATGCCTTCATAAGTTTCACTTCCTTTGGCTCAGGAACAACTTGTCCATTCTTCCCTAAAGCCTCGCATTTGAATGTCATCTTGTTACCAGTAAAGAGTATTGAGAAATTCTGGCCATCTTGTGTAACAGTTTTGTCTGACTGTGGAATCTCTTGAAAGTCCCCATCCTCTGCATATTTTCTGCTTAGCTTCACCTGTGTATTTCGATCATTGAGTTGGCAGTCCAATTGAAATACTGTTCCTGAGATGACATACGAGAGCCCAGAGCCACGAACAACCCATGCTGCAAAAAGACCAGTAATTTATTGAACCATAATGACATTTTCAACTTTCATCAGCAGATTAACATGTGGTTAACATTACTCACTCATTCAATGTTGCCTTAACTAAGCCAACATTAAATCTGGGAAACATTACTTGATTTTGAAGTTAAGTGTACTGAAAAAACTAAATATTATATGATTGGCATTTGAATGGTGATGAATCTTTTCATCCTGCCTTAATTCCTATGTGAGAGGGGTTGCAAAAATAATTATTATCTTTTACTGTGTCTGCACCTTCCTTCATTCCTCCTTAAAAATTAAATCTCCACAACAAATTGTAAGACTAAAACACTCTCAAATTAATTATATATTTAACAATAAATAAAGCACCAATTTATTTGAAGCTCCAACATTGCCCCCTCTCCCCCCTTTTTTCAGGGCAACCCACAGGCATTTGACCATCATATTGATGCTTGGAAATTACTGATGCATAATGAGCTTGAGGTATCTGCTACATTGAAAACCTTGGAACAAGACAGGCCTAAGTTTTCATTTTATTTTTTTCACAGTTGCTCACTGTCCACTATTCACTATTTATCAAGAAATAAATAGAGATTGAATAGCACAGCCAGACCGACTGCTGCATTTGTGATTGAATACTAGTACACATATAATGATAACTGCATCCATATGCACTTACATAAAGTCTAGGAACATCTAATGACAAACAACTACAGCAATTGTACAGCTTACACAGATTTGAAGTGCAGCGCTTTTCTTCCAGGCTCCATATCATCCACTGTGGACATAATTCCTTGATAGGGATCCCTTGTTTGCACACAAAGTAGCCACTTGGATCAGTGGGATCACCAAACTTTTCATTGGGCTCAAGACATTCTGGATGTAAAAGAAATGTAAACTATGCACTCAGTTAAAATTTGGCAGAATCTATACTGAAGGCCTTCTCAAAGCTGGTCATCAAAAGTGTTCAAAGCAATTTTTTTTGAGTAAAAACACCTGATAAAACTCTGAGTAATAATCTTTAATAAGTTTATTAGTAGTCCATCCAGGCGCTGACATGCTGCAACAGAAACTAAGAGCAGCTAATCCCAACCTGCCTGGAACATAAGCAGGTAATTTAGTGTTAACAACTGAGTTGAAAATGTAAATTGGCCACTGTAAAGTGTCCGGAGGCTGACATTTCAAGTGTTAGCCCTTTGTCAGAGTGATTGGAGGAATCATGGGTTGTGAGTGGGTTTATATGCAGAAATGGAGCCACACTATTGGTGGGAATATGGTGACAAGAAAACAAGAATAAATAAGTTGAATGAAAAGCTCTTGTTGATACTGTGGGGATTGAGAGTGCTGATTTAGAAAATAAATTTTTGTTCTAGTGTTTTGCAGCTCTCTGAACTGCCTAGATGTAGGGAAAGGCTGCAAACTGCCATATGCTTTTTAGAATGATTATGGAGATTAAAGTGTCTAGTGAATGGTTTGGATGCATCCCTGTCATTTCTTTCTAAGTCTTGAAGGTGTTCTCAGAATCGGTCACCTAGTCGTCTTCCTGTTTCACCAATTTATAACTTTTTTTTTCTTTAGGAACTTACCCACTTTATTCATTTATAATATAAGCAGTCTGTTACCCACCTTTGCAAAATAAATAGTGATAGGACTGATTACAAACAAACCCAGACCCCTCAACTACAATATGTTCAACACCCATGATATGCCCAACATCCATGGTACCACATGTTTTTTCCGGAAGCTATGATCAACATCTGAACCTGAACATAGCTGGCGAAGCTGGTCAGGACTTCAGAGAAAGTAAATAACTATAATAGCACTTTTAACAGTACCTTCAACAAATAACTCCCTTGTAATGTTGCTGGAATATCCTGGCTGTTGAGAGGTTGTAACTACACAAGTGTAATTTGCTGCATCTACCCATGAAACTGTCTTCAGCATCAGAATATTTTCATTTAAGGGAAGGCCTTTTAGTGTTTTCCTTGATTGTAACTGTGTCTGGTGATTCTGAACTTTCCCCCCATTTTTCAACCATGTGATAGAGACTCCATTACCGGGCACCTGACAGGAGAAATTGAAATTCTGATCTCGAAGGACACTGGAAGTGAATGGGTACACTTGAGGCCAAGGACGTCTTTGATCACCTAACAAAGTGATGAAAATAAATATTTCTGTCTGATAATTTCCTGGTGGAAACATACATGTAATGTGACATCCTAAAAATTTGGAGGACTTTGAAAGGAAGTAATGCTTATCTAGGTATCTGGGTACTGTGATAAATTTGAAATAATTTTCAGAGATTATGATGAATTCTACCACCATTTTGGTTAAAGGAAATTACATAAGTTAAGGGACTTTGATGAAAGAGGGTCAGTAAGAGGTTAACCCCATACAACCTAACATCAGTATGCACTATCTCCATAATTTTCTTCATACTTTCCTATGGTACTGACAAAGAGAATCTGTTAATAATAATAATAATAATAATAACTTTATTTAAGTGTCAGTGTATTTTAGCACTGCTGTGCTAATTGGGGACACTGTAAATAAGGAAACAAATATCGTAAATGAACAGAAACTCGTTAAAAACCCCAACTGGTAGGAGGCAGACCAGTTGGCTATTTACAAAGCGTGCAGGAGTTGAATTTGGGGCCACCAAAGACAAATCCATCCAGTGGCAGGGAGGAGGACTTGAACCCGGGACCTCCGGCTTACAAGTGCAGCGCCCTAACCACTAGGCCATGCTCACCTCCTCAAAAGCTTTACTTGGGACCATTTCCTTTATTCTCTCATTATTCTCACAACCTTTAATGTTTGATTCAGTGGAGCTACCACTGTAAGGATAAATTAGATGCTTGTCACTCTCAGTGATAAATGGTTAAAATGGAGATCTTTTGTCACACCCTTCATTGTGGTAAAGACCCCCCTGAAATGTAAAATAACAAGATTATTTCATCACCTGTAAAGACAAGCAGGCTAGTAATTTCCTCTTTAATAGTCTTGTTTATACTTGGCAAGGTAGCCTTGCACATGTACAGACCGGCATCATCCAGTGACACACTTTTAAAATAAAATCTGTTTTTCCTTTGTGTTATAGATCTGTTATTTGGAAGAATTTCCTCTGCTGGATTTGTATCATCTTTCTTCTTCCATAAACTAGAGGAAGATGCTGTCTGGTCATTGGTTCTACAGTTGATTGTCAGAGGGTCTCCGACAAATAATCTCTGATACTGTCTCTTCTTTGCCATGAAGTTAAACTCTGAAATACAACCACTACATTAAGTAAATGATTCTCTTTCAACCAGAAACATTTTCATAGTCAGGGACAAAGACAGTAATTGTAACAGTAACATAGTTCATGTGACAACTAGGAGCTATTCAACACAGCACTTAAGTCATGCCAGTCCCTTGAGTGTAAGATCTTGTGTCTTATGAATAAAGGGGGAAGGTTTCTAAAGAAACTGTGGTGCTGTGTCAGTGGGAGAGTATAGCAGGTAATTTAGTGAAAACAACTGAGTTGAAAATGTAAATTGGCCACCATAGAGGGTAAAAAAGCTGATGTTTCAAGTGTTAGCCCTTTGGCTTTTTTTTGTAGAGATTTAGAAATATCACTGGCATGTTTGGAAATAAGAAACTCAAAGTTATCTTTGACAATATTGAACCCCGAGACTCTGTGATTAATACCTTGGATTCTCCTGACAAGTAGGGGAGCTTTAAATGTGCCACAATTAACAAAAGCCAATTCAATTCTGTCCGATTTCCAAAAGGACAAGATAATTGACCTGATTCTTAATAGGAGTAAAACAGTTTGTAACTGATCTGTCCATGGTACTAAATTTCCCCATAGGCTTCATAGTTTATTTTGCTATACAACATGACTTCTCTACCTGTAACTGAGAGCAATCCTGATTTGGCTTTATATGCCTTATACATGCTTGATTCATATGCAAACGTTGCACGGCATTCAAACAGGCCAGCTTGAGAAGATGTAACTGGTGACAGCTGAAGAGTGCTCACATATGTATCATTAAAGTTCTGTGATGTACTAGAAACTCTCTTTTTGTTTTTATACCATTCCACATTTTTTATGTCTTTTCCAGTTACAGTGCAAGTGAAGGTGACACTTTCTCCTTCTTTTGCTGTAGTATTTGTTGGAAGTATTGAAAATGAAGAAATGTATTTTCCTATGAAAGAATCAAATAAAAGATTACTGTGATTAACATTTCTTTTGAGGGGTTTTCCAATTGTTGCAGCCATTGTCGTCTTGTCCTTGGAAACAATGTGCATGATTGCGGGTCCCATTTACTGCACAATAATTTTTTATTTATCATGCAATATTTTGATTTTATCATGTGATAAATCTCATTTACTGCATGATAAATTAAACTTAAAAAGTGGATAGCCTGTCCTCTATGGGCCACTGTACCAGACACAGTTCAGCGCAGATTATGCTTCAATCATATGAAGTGCTTAAACTAAACTTTTATGCACATATTTATATTACAATTTGAGCTAGAGTCAAACTCTGAAATGGTTTAACCTGTTGTTGTTCCCTTCGCCACCCAAACTTTTTCTATCCGCATAGAAGTTGGTCCAACTTTGCAGGAATATTTTCCTTCATCAGTCTTTTCAACATTGTTGATGGTAAATATTTGTCCACTCTGTGTAACTTTGATTCCATCTGCAATCCTGTCAAAATCCTTTTTATCTTTTGTTTGTTTTAGAGAAACACTAACATAAGGATCATTCATTTGACAATCTAGATCAACAGAGTATCCAATTATAGCTACTATGTTGCTTGGTGTGTGACCATTTGCTAGGGAGTACTGGGATCCCCCTGAAAAAATAACAATAAACAATCAACTAAAAACGATCAACTATATAAAGATAACTAGCAGTTTCTTATGGAAAGTGAAGTGCTGCAAGGTTAATTCATTATACTGTGAGCCTGTAAAGTATGGCTTATTAGTTAAGGAAAGGAACCTAGGAATGGTTTAGTTATTATATAATGCTTTGTAAAAATAATTAAATCACAGAAAATATACAAAAGTACAAGAATAAAGTGTAAATATGTCAAAAACGTGTTATTTTCAAAGGATGTTTGTAATTTTTGGGGAAGGGTATGGATTTTTCACTTTCAAATGTTTGGATTCTCTTACCCCCATAGATACTCAAAGGTTTCCTCCACCCCCCACCCCCCCTCCTCCTCGCTCTCTGTAGTAGATAGCATGATAGCCTGAAACTTAGCAGAGAAAATGGGTGCTCCATCTCCACCAAGAACAACATATACACACGCATAGAAAACCCCTCAGCCTTTTTAAAAACAATACATGATACTTACTAATAAAAAAGATTGAAAAATAATGTCTAACAGTTCAAGAATAGGCCTCAAGGCAAAAATAATGATTACATAAACTCAAGCCCAGACCTATGCGCCACAGAAAGCCTCTCAAGATTAGTGTTGCTGCTTGCTCACTGTGGCGCCATTCACAGCAATTGCATAAATAATACTGATATATAAACAATAAGTGAAACTTGAGGAAATCGGTGTGCGTTTTGAGGAACAGATTAAGTCCAAGGACAAATATACAAGCATATTATCACCCAAAATAGAGGTTACAGTAAGGTATGGTATGGTAACTTTACTTATACAAGGTATTTCCTTCAGGTACATTTAAATTCAAGTAGAGAAAACTAACTACCTAACTAAACTAGAATCTAAGATAAAAAACTAAAATAATAAGATGAAAAGAAAACACCTGCTTTTCAAGGAGGCAGTGTGTAAAAATAACATATTGCCGAGTAAATCATTTCACTGAATTGAAATTCAGGTCCCTTAATTTTCCCTTAAATACAGTAGGGGAAGTCAATTGCCACACCTCCAGAGGCAAGCTGTTCCATAACACACTTCCGCTATAGGATAGACTTCTTTTATAAAATTCAGTGCAGGGTTCTGGAACAGGAGCTTGTATTCATTCTCTTTAAGGTTATAGCTAGTTAAATCACAGCGACAAACAAAAAGTGAAGTCAGATATTCTGGAGCTGTGTTATTTATAGTGCTATACACCATTATTGCTTTACTAACTACGCGCTGATGGACAAGTTTCGACCACTTTAAACAGTGTTTATTATCTTTCACAAATTTAATCCCAGCCTACTGTTTGCTGCATGAAATGTTTTCTTTTGAGTGTTTTTTGGTTTGACTTAGTGAACAAACAAATATTTTCCTTCTTTTGTAACAGCCATAGAATGCATTTTCATCTTCAGTTAAGATTTTAATGAAGACTTACACTGTATCGTAGAGGATGTAAGGTTTGAAAATTAAGGAATATCACCTAGGTGACATTCTCAGATATCATCCAGTTTTAGCTAGGGGTCACTTGGTCATGTGATGCATTTAGACCAATAGGGCTCAGGCGAAAATATTTGATGGATCATAACAAAAGTTATAATGATGATGATTATGATACCCATGATTACGTCAAAAACCATCCCAGAAGTCTTAAGTAAAGAGGTTGCACTTATTGTAGTGGTTTCTGAAAAGGTGTTTGTTAAGATTAATTCTAATAGTTCATGATATAAAATTGCACTCGCAATGAAGAGTTCACTGGAAGGAGAATTATTTATGAGATCATGGGAGTGAAAGGGTGAAAAGTCATTATACATGTCATGTAGATTATTTGCACATGGTCACAAAATTTCACAACTTCTATTCTCTGGAGGGAACTGTCAAGATCATTCATTCTCCTTCTCTTTCTTCTATGAATAATTGCTGTTGAAATGTTTTTTTGAGCTGATTACATTCACAACTCAGATGTTATGCCGATCATCATGCTCTTACATGTACCACAAAGTAAGGGGTAACATGTTCTTTAGAGTTACCCAGTAATAAAGGAAAAACTTCTGACAGTATTTTTTTCCACAATTCATTAAGGTTCTGCTTGACAATTATGAGGACTGGCAGCTGGTGTGTTCATTATCTTATAAGTGATCCTATGGTTAAAGATAACAATCTCAGATTAATTAATAATGAACTTTTTCAACTCTTTCTGCAAGCAGTTTATTGTTCTGAAGTTAGAACCAGTAAATTAATTTTCTACCTCCAATTAAATTTTAATACCCAGTTCAAAATACAATTCTCACATCTGCATCTGAATTTGCAGAAAAAAATACATGAAACATGATTTTGTCACATGAATAACAGTTTGCCATATGAAAGGAACATATGACCTGGTTTTTAAAAAAATAAAACTGTCTTTTTTCCTAGACCATTACAACTGGGGTAATGTAATTTCATGAATATTTGTTGAAAGTCAATATACTATACATTCATTGCACATGTTTGCTTTGCTTTACAGCAAAAAGAAATTACTATTTGACTTGTTTTCAAAGGAGCTCTCATGAATATTTGCACTGATGACGTTGGTCAAATGCCAAACAATATATTCTAAGTAGCCTCCCCACAGGTACAGTAATTATTAAGAGCAATCTTAATTTCATCATAATTAAAAAAGAAATGTTCAAATTCACATATAAACCTTTATTTCAAAAGACGAAAACTTCTCCCTTTTGAAATTAGTGTTCCGTGTTGGCAATGCAAGTGGGATATGAACAATAATTTTCATCCAAATCAGCTTAAATGTATTACTCCATGCTAATCAGAAATCATACTGAAAACCAAAGCAAAATGATGCCAGGTAACATAAATGAAATTCTTCTTCATCTCCCTCAAACTATGCAGACATTTAAACCATAAGATGGAAAATACTACACTGTAAACCCGAGATTAACGTACTTGACAAATTATCAAAGAACACAAATTCTGTTATCATTAATGTTATTCATTTTCTTTTTTGAAAATACAATCAATAAGAAGTGTCATTAGTATATATGATTAAAATTCATTGAGTATTCTGCTAGCGTAATGCTGACAGGAAAAAAATATGTTACTCGAGTTTTGTTTGAATTATACGGGGAATGGAGGAGGAGTAAAAGTGAAAAAACCCTATGGCCAATTGACGTAATTACTTCGAAATATTTGTTTTATTTTAATTAAAATAGAAGAATTCGCAAAAATTATAAATAATTATTGCGTAGTTGTGATATGAAAAGAAAATAACTGCCAGAGGCAGTTTCCTCTTCTCTTATTTTTGCCTTTAATTACTCATTGTAAACATTAGCTAAGAGGACAGGAGGTGCGTGTTTGCTAAGTTGCCATACGAAAATTCCGCGCAAGGGCACTTCATGACGGGTTTCCTTTCAAGCGTTGTCGTGGTAATTACCTTCCAAATAGACAAGAACGAGATGTATGACAAGTTCTTAGAAAACATCGAAAAACACAAATAATTTGCTTATGCGTGAGATGTCAAAATCACTCACGTAAAATTTATCATGTGAGGATGTGAGCACGCAGCTACAGTCTCTCGACGTTAATAAAGTACCGCTTATATCTGCTACTGGGATCGTACTTATTTACATATCTTCGTGCTGAATAGTAATAGAAAAGCCGCTTTGTAGGATTTAACACGAGATAAAAATTATTACTGGCTAAAAAAAAAAAAAAAAAAACCGACGGAAATATCACAATATTCTGCTACATTTAGAACTGTTAGGGAAATTTGTGTTCAGAATTATTAGTAGTGCTATCTAGGCCAAAGGTTCGTGAAACGTTTTGTGTTATTAGCATGTTATCTGTGCTATAATAATATGAATATGCATGTGTGGAATGTTGTAAAGCGTTGCTCAATTTACGAGGGAAGTGAAAACGTGCAAAGTTTGTCTAGTGCTGTAACGCAGATACTGAAAGTTTCAAAACAATTAATTGCAAATGGTGAGTGGCATTGTGAAATGGCTAGTACTGTCTAGATTCGTAGGAGAATCGAAAGCGGTGATAAAATATCCCTGCAAAAATAATCTATTATGAACTAGAGACAGCTGTGGTGCAGTAATTAGTTCACTGAGTAGATGGATGAATAATTAAAGAAATATGCTGTTATTGACATGAACTATGAAAGTAGCAACCCGTAAAAGTTTTTCCATTAGGCTCGGCATAGCACGACATTTCACGCCGATAGGAAAGTGAAATCGACGGCAAGGTTTGAAAACCAGAAATTAAAGGTAAAAGTGTTATGACGTTTGTAAATCATAATGAACTAACTTTATTCCTTAGTAATTTGCGTTAGCGTGAATAATAATTGCTTTTAATTTGCCGCATTAAACACGCGTTGAAATCCGTGCAGCCTCCGTTCGAATAGCATCAACTGCGGTGTAACCTTTCCATCATTGCATCTTTAACCGGTAACTGCATGTACACAATGCAAACTGCTGGGCAATTGAGCAATCAGCTGAACCACTCACCTCTAAACTGGACAAAGAAGAAAAGGGTAGCTAAATAAGACGCAATCTGCATCCGCAAACGTGCCATCGAGAAAATCGAAGCGAAGACTGAATTGAAACGGTTTTGAGTCCCTAGCTTTGGCGAGAATGAACCCACTAAGGCTTCATGCACTTTACAAGCGTTTTCCCAGTAGCTGAATCGAAATTCTCTCGTTGAACATTAGCGTTAGCGACGGCCAATACAATGTTGCCGCAGATAGAGATAATGACTAAACTTCAATGCACAATGGGAAACCACTCAATGGGCGCGGACGGAAGCAGAAACGTAAGTAAACACGTCACTGATTGCTTGATGTCAAGCATGTCAACGTGTTAGAGAGAGAGAAGAGCAAAGAAAAATGACATATCACAGGCAAGGTCACTTATAAACTTCCATCCTTACTGAATGTGTCTA